CACGCCATGTAACCTCCGCAACACACTGCCCAGAAAAGCGTCCACAGTTCCAAACTTAACAACCAGTAGATTGTATCAAAAGTCTGCATTCAGTTTAGCTGTAGCTTTTAGTTTACAAAGATTGTTTGTTTTAAGATAATATGATTTGCAAATGCGTATTCCCGAAAATTATAATTTAAGAATTTAATTTTTATATTTTAACTCTTTTTTTTTGCTCTTTTTGATTGAGTTTGGTTAAAATAATGTCAAAATGTTTCTGACTCGAGGCAACATCTTCTTTTTGAACTGCTTGATCAAGTGTACGGCATGTTTTGATTTTCATCGATTCTGTTTGACTCATGTCAGATATTTTGATCGCTCTGGAATTATGTGTATTTTACAGCTGCAACCTTTTGCTTTAGTTTAAAATAATATTTTTATACTATAATACTATTTTCATACTAATGTAATGTATTTTCATAATAATATCATTTTCATAATAATATTATTATATTATTTTCATGACTATGCTTAATGTGGCTTTTCTTTTTCGAGATCAGAAGCATTTTTTTTCAATAGTTTCCGAACAAAAAGAACGGAAATCTGATTATAAGTTTTTCAAACTACACTGCAAATTAGCAAAATATCTTCTTCACAGATTTCATTTCGAATCTTGATAGAAAAAAAAGAGTTCGTTTTGTAGTTAATAGGCTCTAAAGAGAACAATTTTTTTTTCAGTTTGCTTTGAGTTACTATAAATTCAAAAATTTGAATTAATTCTATGGCCAATGTGACCCGAAACCGCAATAGTTGCATTTATACGTGACCCTTTGAACCGAATATATGGGTTGACTCTAGCCCCAAGGCATAACCCAATGAAACAGCCTCTCAATAAAAGACTCGCCCTCTAAAGATACACTTGACCCCTCATTTTCATCATTTGACTCTTCGTCTTCAACTTCAGTTGTGTTACTTGGCTCCTCTGCTCTCAAATAAGTAACATTGTCAAAATGATCATCCAATTCATCTGATTCATCTAATTGGTCCAATTCATTGTCATCGTCTTCTTTGCTTTCCGTTTGATTCCATGTGTTGTCGAGATTGAAGGGATCTTCGATGTGCAAATTGCACAATTTGAGCAAATCCTTGACTAATGCTGCGAATTAAATTCGTTCTGCATAGTTCGAATCTAGACAGTTTTCAGCCATAATGCGGTGTACTTCTTGTCTAAAAAGCATAATTTAAAGAAGTTTTCTTTGCTTTTACTGTTTTTGGCGTGGTATAATTTAGCCACTGAGTTTTGTAGAATTTTCTATTTCTTCAAGAGACACAGCGTTGTTATTAAAGCAGTGCCCATACGTTTTAAAACATCTAGTCCGTTCAGAACGGTCATATCTGTGATTAATACCAACAGTAAAGACATCAGAATAATTTTTCATTCGAGTACTGCTAATCTTTGGAATCTTTCAGTTGTTGCACATCTTCATATTTATGTTATCATCAAGTTACGCTCAATTTTAGAGCATTCAGCTCAAAACAAACCGTAATTTTTAACCCTAATTGAGTCTTCAAAAATTCCAGTATGTTAAAATAATAAAACAAGTGAATTCGATGAGAAATTAAGCTTAAGACCACCATCGAGTTTTGAAATACGGCCACTGAATCTCAAAGACCATTAGATTTTGAGTGAAAACTGGCAACTGGTACTAACTATTAACTGACCTCCAGTGGTATAAACCACGCGATTGAACAAAGCACGTCACAGCATTCCCTCTTACCAGGAAAAAATTTAACGCAGTGCACTACCCGGACTGACAAAAATGGATTTCGATCGATTTTAGTATGAAAAAAGTATGCAAACTAAATTGAAATCGATTTAAGTTGTAAAAAAGTAAGTTAATCAAAAAGAAAAAATCAGATCAATTTGGATCGATTTTAAATCAATTTAAATCGATTTAATTTCAACGCTTAAGAAATCGATTCCAGTGGATTTTAAATCGTTTCGAAAGGATCTTAAATCTGACCTAAAAAGAAATAAATCCAAATCGATTTTAAATCGATTTTTTTTCACTACTTTTTTTTCTTCAAATTTTTGAATGACAGAAACAAAATGAAAACTTTTGTTACTTTTCGTTACAGATACCAAAATTGACTAAAATCCTTGTAAAACAAGATCAACCGTCCCCCATGCCCCCCACCAATTCTTATCCCGCGAACCCCCCCCCCCCCCCCCCCCAATTCTTATCCTCCATCAGTTATACCAGATATAATTTTGTCGTCGGCAAGGGGTCGAAATACCTTAACATTTTTACGTGAAGTTTAAATTTGGCCTTAAAGGCTAAAGTACTTAGATGACCATACTGACCATACTAACCAAAATTCGATATGAGTTGGCCGTCTCAACCCATTTTATGCATGCTTCAAACGCCTCGACCGAAACTAGTCGAAACTGGGCTCGGTTTTCTCGTACAAATAAAAATATGATCGAACATGCTTGACCCAAGCATGCAACGTAGCAACCGAAACCTGGTATGTTTATTTTTTCTCGATTTTGCTTTGCCCAAGCGAGATATTATTCTACCAAAAAAGTCTGTGATGCGAACTTGAGCTAGTATAAGGTTACGGAAGCTTGAATTACAATTTATCGTCAGAAAAAAATATTGGAGTCATTTGTAAATTTTGAATCCTCTTTTTATCCATTTTATTGAGACTCTGTTGTTCAATTTGCGTCATAAGCGTAACAACAATTTTTATAATAGTAAATATGTTTGTTTTGCCGCGGAAAACGGTGCTCAAGGTATGTTTCTACTGTGATCGAGGTATGTTTCGAGCTTTTTGGATCGAACTTTGATAATTTTTGACGTACCCGCACAGGGAATAATTTTTTCTTCAAGAATTAAGTGACACGCAATTTTTATCAACCCGGGTGTTTTTTTTTAAAAAAAATTCAGGACTGCAGTTACAGGACTCGTCAATTAGATCTACAAGGCAAGAATTAAAAGCCCCAAGTTGGGGCTTCTAATTGTTGCCTTGTAGATCTTATTGACGAGTCCTGTAACTGAAATCCTGAAAAAGAAATTTTTAAAATACCCGGGTTGATAAAAAATTGTGTGTCACTTAATTCTCATACGCTTTCTCCTACATTCGAAACAATGAATAAGATATTGTATGAATTCACTTGACTTTCAGATCAAACAAAAAAATTTTAGCAATAGAATATGAGTTTACATTTTTTTTCGAGAACTCCTTCAAATCTCCAATTCAATTATCGAAGAAAGAAAACCAGTTGATCAGCAAGTAAAAGTTATCGCTCCAATAAAATTTTGAAAACAACGAGAAAAACGGAAATTTTTTGTTGAATGTTTTTTAAAAGTCGATGTTGAATAATTTTAAGTTCCACTTGGATAGCAAGAGTTTTTTGAGAAAGAATTTTGTAAATGTTTTAGTCTAAAAGCTCTAACTTAATTAAAGGAGGTTTTTGGAAAATAAAAAACTAAACACCACCTTTTTGGCATTTTTAGACTTTTTCTGTTAATTTTTTAAAATCTTAGTTTAACAGCTTTAGTACATATCAAAATCGGCGCCGTGCGATTGTTTTTTTGAGAAAAATGAAAACAAAAACAAGCATAACCGGCTATTTTGCAAATAGCAAAAAATATTTTGACCATAGTCGTAACAAAATAAAAACATTTTTTTAAAAATAGTGATGTTTTTCTGTGCGATTTGATGAAAAAGATCTGAACGAATAAAAAAAATCAGACATATTCGACAATCATAGTCGAATACACCATTTAGAAAAAACATTATAAAAAATGCTTAAAAAACGAATAAAAAATTGTAATGAAAATTTATAAAAATCACAAAAGCTTCCTATCTATTTTTTAGAAAAAGTTTTTTGATTTTTTGAAATTATGATGTGCAAAATGGCGCTAAAATTACTAGAAATTAACTTTGCTGAATCAAAACTAAGTTTTCACGGCTTTAATTAAGCCAAAATAATTCATTGAATGCCTGCACGCTGACCTTATTAGCTGGAAGTGAGACCAAAACTCTACAATTTCAAACAAGTTTTACTCGACACTGAGAAAAGAATTTTTCCAATTTTCTATTGTCGTTCGACTAAAAGGATTTTAATATTATATACAACTCGACCCATTCCGTTGATTGTTTGTGGTACCTGATTTTGCGTGGAAAACAAAAAAATAACTAAAATACACCCGAACTCAAAATTTCTCAATTCCTTTGCATTTTTCAAATGATTAGAACAATGACTCCTTTTAGGCCATTGTTCATGTCCACTCATAGAACAACAATTCTGGTATACTAATTGAATGGCTGTTTCTATCGAATTACAAGGAAACTATTTATTTGCAGTGACTTGATGGGCTCCTCAATTCTTATGCTTGCTTTTCTGCTAATGATGTCTGTTTATTTCACTGTTGATCGTTTGATAAACTTTGAAAGTAACCATTGCGAAAAATTTTTCTCTGATATTTAAAAAAAGTGAATTAAGATAATTTGTTCCACAAATTCACGACAACTTTAATAGTAGAAGAGAATTGCACCATCTTAGCGAAAGTATCTTGAGTAATGGATTTCTTAGGGTGGTTACCTGTGACAGTTTTTTTTATCTTAGCATTCAATTTTTTTGCGCTTTTTGGAATTTTTCTCTGCGCATCTGACAGATAATTATTTTCAATCGTAGCTCAATCGTAAATTTTATTTCATAATTTTATCAAAAACTCAACGCATAACACGGTCAATTTTCATAAGTACAAACTTGCTTTCAAAATGCACCTCGTAGCAATACGCATAATGCGAAACGAAGTATACCACCCAAATATTAAGTTTTACCGGGCAGATTTTTAAAGTAGAGAGAAAATTTGTTACATTTCACTTTGTTCGAAGAAAAGGCTAATATATGAAGGTTTATGCAGTTTTGCTTTTGTAATTTATACTAATAGTTTCTGACTAACTGAAACCTCCCACTAGACTTTGTGCATAAAACTTACCTTTTTCAGACTTCACTTGCAAACTGTGTTCTATGAGGACAACCAACCCCTGTTTCATGAACGACGAACTGTCTCTAGACGCCAGATGCACTGGCAAAGAGAAATTTTGTCTGGTGAGTAGCCAAAACTACTCTCATGTAGTAAAAACAAACTTTTTTAAAAAATTTATAATAAATGCAGTTGACCAAAACGCCGTTCATACTTTGCCACAATTTGATTTTTGATTTCCATAATTTTGACTATTTCGAATGTAATTCGAATAAAAAAGTAGTCGCTTGAATAGTTTAGATCATTGATTTTTTGCTAATGGTTTTGATTTTTTCACTGATTCCACTTTTACTGCCTCAAGCACTGATTCAATTAATCAAAACCTATAGTTTAATAGATATAAATTATTTGAATATAGCGTACGCAATTATTATATTATGACCTATGCCAATGAAATTATCACTCATGCCGTTTTTTTGGACTTGCCATAATTATAACCTCTGCGTTTTTCTCTTGCTTCGAATGATGTAAGCAAATTGAAACGTTTGACTTTCTAGAATCAAATGGGAGTTTACTTTTCTTGAAAAAACACAGTTTTATTCTTATTTTCAGACTCTGGTGAGCGAAGACGCCAGTGGATCCTATGTACTGTTCAAAGGCTGCGACAGACTCAATAACTGTTCCAACCCAGGAGTCACGTGGTACAACAAGACAGTGCAGAAGATATGTTGCCAGAACAGCAGTCCAGACACGCCATGTAACCTCCGCAACACACTGCCCAGAAAAGCGTCCACAGTTCCAAACTTAACAACCAGTAGATTGTATCAAAAGTCTGCATTCAGTTTAGCTGTAGCTTTTAGTTTACAAAGATTGTTTGTTTTAAGATAATATGATTTGCAAATGCGTATTCCCGAAAATTATAATTTAAGAATTTAATTTTTATATTTTAACTCTTTTTTTTTGCTCTTTTTGATTGAGTTTGGTTAAAATAATGTCAAAATGTTTCTGGCTCGAGGCAACATCTTCTTTTTGAACTGAATGATCAAGTGTACGGCATGTTTTGAACTTCATCGATTCTGTTTGACTCAAGTCAGATATTTTGATCGCTCTGGACTTATGTGTATTTTACAGCTGCAACCTTTTGCTTTAATTTAAAATAATATCCACTATGCATCAGTTTCGATTGAAAATAGCGATTCAAGTTTCATGTGATACCAAGATCAAGACTCTCAGTATACCGTTTGTGGCCTGAATTATATGAACTTTTTTCATGACCATGCTTAATGTGGCTTTACTTTTTCGAGATCAGAAGCATTTTTTTTCAACAGTTTCCGATCAAAAAAGAAACGAATCTGATTATAAGTTTTTCAAACTACACTTCAAATTAGCAAAATATCTTCTTCATAGAACTCATTTCAAATCTTGATAGAAAAAAAAGAGTTCGTTTTGTAGTTAATAGGCTCTAAAGAGAACAATTTTTTTTTCAGTTTGCTTTGAGTTACTATAAATTCAAAATTTTGAATTAATTCCATGGCAAATGTGACCCGAAACCGCAATAGTTGCATTTATACGTGACCCTTTGAACCGAATATATGGGTTGACTCTAGCCCCAAGACATAACCCAATGAAACAGCCTCTCAATAAAAGACTCGCCCTCTTCTGATACGCTTGACCCCTCATTTTCATCATTTGACTCTTCGTCTTGAACTTCAGTTGTGTTACTTGGCTCCTCTGTGCTCAAATGAGTCACATTGTCAAAAAGATCATCCAATTCATCTGATTCATCTAATTCGTCCAATTCATTGTCATCGTCTTCTTTGCTTTCCGTTTGATTCCATGTGTTGTCGAGATTGAAGGGATCTTGGATGTGCAAATTGCACAAACTGAGCAAATCCTTGACTAATGCTGCGTCTGAAATTCGGTCTGCATAGTTCGAATCTAGACAGTTTTCAGCCATAATGCGGTGTATTTCTTGTCTAAAAAAGCATAATTTAAAGAAGTTTTCTTTGCTTTTACTATTTTTGGCGTGGTATAATTTAGCCACTGAGTTTTGTAGAATTTTCTATTTCTTCAATAGACACAGCGTTGTTATTAAAGCAGTGCCTATACGTTTTAAACCATCTAGTCCGTTCAGAAACGGTCATATCTGTGATTAATACCAACAGTAAAGACATCAGATTATTTTTTCATTCGAGTTCTCCTAATCTTTGGAATCTTTCAGTTGTTGCACATCTTCATATTTATGTTATCATCAAGTTACGCTCAATTTTTCAGCTCAAAACATACCGTAATTTTTCAACCCTAATTGAGTCTTCAAAAAACCCATAAAGTTAAAATAATAAAACAAGAGAATTCGATGAGAAATTAAGCTAAAGACCACCATAGAGTTTTGAAATACCGGCAACTGAATCTCGAAGACCATTAGATTTTGAGTGAAAACTGGCGGGTACTAATTACCAACTGACCTCCAGTGGTATAAACCACGCGATTGAACAAAACACGTCACAGCATTCCCTCTTACCAGGAAAAAATTTAACGCAGCGTACTACCCGGACTGACAAAAACGGATTTCGATCGATTTTAGTATGAAAAAAGTATGCAGATTTAATTGAAATCGATTTAATTTGTAAAAAAGTAAGTTAATCAAAAAGAAAAAATCAGATCGATTTGGATCGATTTTAAATCGATTTAAATCGATTTAATTTCAACGCTTAAAAAATCGATTCCAGTCGATTTTAAATCGTTTCGAGTGGATCTTAAATCTGACCTAAACTGAAATCAATCCAAATCGATTTTAAATCAATTTTTTTCACTTTTTTTTTCTTCAAATTTTCGAATGACAGAAAAAAAATGAAAACTTTTGTTAATTGTCGTTACAGATACCAAAATTGACTAGAAACCTTGTAAAACAAGATCAACCGTCCCCCATGCCCCCCACCAATTCTTATCCCGCAACCCCCCCCCCCCCCCCCCTCCCAATTCCCATCCCTTATCAGTTACACCAGATGTAATTTTTTTCCTCTAAATTCTTTAAGTTAGACACTTAAATTGATCAAAAATTTTCCAGAAATCGATTATGGTGCCTGTAGAAAACTTTTAGGGTCAGTCAGCCAAGGGGTCGAAATACCTTCAGCCAAGGGGTCGAAATACCTTAACATTTTTACGTGATGTTTATGTTCGGCCTCAAAGGCTAAAATACTTAGGTGACCATACTGACCATACTAACCAAAATTCGGTATGAGTTGGCCGTCTCAACCAATTTTCTGTATGCTTCGAACGCCTCGACCGAAACTAGTTAAAACTCGGTTCGGTTTTTTCGTACAAATAAAAATGTGATCGAACATGCTTGACCCAAGCATGCAACGTAGCAACCGAAACCTGGTATGTTTATTTTTCCTCGATTTTGCTTTACCCAAGCGAGATATTATTCGACCAAAAATGTCTGTGATGCAAATTTGAGCTAGTATAAGGTTACAAAAGCTTGAATTATAATTTATCGTCAGTAAAAATTATTGGCGTCATTTGTAAGTTTTGAATCCTCTTTTTTTTCCACTTTAATGAGATTCTGTTGTACAATTTGCGTCATAAGCGTAACAACAAATTTTATACTCGTCAATTTGTTTGTTTAGCCGCGGAAAACGGTGCTCAAGGTATGTTCCCACCGTGATCGAGGTATGTTTCGAGCTTTTTGGATCGAAGTTTGATAATTTTGACAAACCCGAGGTATGGTTTTTATGTGTTAGAGGTTTGTGTCGACGACAGTGATTGAGATATGTTTCGAGCTTGCTAGAGTAGAGTACTCATCAAATCTTCAATTTATAATAAGTCGAACTTGAAATTAATTAAGCAACTTTTACTGAAATTTTGTATCATAAAATTCCAGGCGCGGGAGGAAAACAACAAAAAAGGAATCCAAGAATACTCAGTACATTTACCTTCTCCATCAAACAAAATTGAAATTCGATTTTTACAGTTGCAATGAAACGTTAAATGTCCGTCAGTTGCTGTATGTCAAAGATTTGTTGTGGAAAAACTTTTAAATACTGTGATGATCTTATGTAAAAGCTTTAGAAAAAAAAAATTCTGGGTTCAAAGTGTAATTGATCGAGTTATTTTGTCGTTGATCGAGTTATTTTTCGAGTGGTTCCTGAAGAATTTTTGTTACCGTTCTAGAGGTATGATTTGATCATGCTCGACCAAACTTTCATATTTTTCACCTTGCTTAGGACAAGTTTTTAGAAGTAAGTTTCCAGTTGGCTTCGTCGCTTGTGCTTGGCTGGTTCTCTGCCTGTGCTGCCTGGTGCAGCAGTTGTCTTCCTGGACCGTCTCTTCAACCTCAGGTATGCGTGTTCTCCCCTCCCCTAGTGCTAGCTTAGGTTTTTTTTTTGTGTTGCCTGCTTAGCCCAAGTGGCTTTTTGCTTGGTCTGGTGTCTAAGGTTAAAGTTGCTCGTTCGCGGCGCTCTTGAGGCTTTCAGTTTAGCTGAGGGGGTAGGCAAACTGTGCATTTGCTCGCGCACTGTTTGCTTTGTGTTGTGTTGTGTGGTTTATTAAGATTTGTATTAAATTTTAAAATGCTGTGTAGGCCTCAGGCGCAGTTGGCTTCGTCGCTTGTGCTTGGCTGGTTCTCTGCCTGTGCTGTCTTAGGCAACAAATGAATGTCAATGCAACAAATAAACGTCATATTAAACAGAAAAAGAAGCAAAACAATCGTAAGAAAGCAACATTTTTTGAACTCAAATCTGATTTATATTGACATTTTTCTTTATTTGTCAAATATGTTTATGCCTAAAATCTGATTTACAATGATAATTTTCTTTGATTTCACTGCATATTTTTGAGCTCAAAACCTAGTTTATTGACAATTTTCTTGATTTGTTTTTTATGTTCATGCACGAAATCTGATTTACAATGATGAGTTTCTGGATTTCTGTTGCATAGTTTTGAGCTCAAATTTTGATTTTTTTGCGACTTTTTTTTTTATTTAAAACATTGGTTTTTGCCCAATATCTGATTTACATTGATAGTTTTTTAAATAATTTTATTGCATAAATTTAAGCTCAAAATCTGGTTTATATTAACAATTTTTTTATTTCTTAAATTCTGAAACATCTGGCACGTGTCTTTTTATTTAAGAAATCAACAATAAATTATTACAATTAGTTTTCTAAATAGCACGTTTTGTTTTGCCGGAGTGGCGGAAAATCAATCGAAATCGTTTTAAATCGATTTTTTAGACACTTAAATTGATATAAAATTTTCAAAAAGAATGATTTAAATAGATTTAAAATGGCTTTAAGTGAGATTTGGATGATTTTTAGTGAGTCGGAAAATCCATCGAAATCGATTTAAATCAATTTTGAGACGCATAAATCGATTTAACATTTTCAAAAGTATCAATTTAAATTGATTTAAAATCCATTTAAGTTCGTAAAATTTACATGGTTAATCAATTTGGATCGATTAAAAATCGATTTAAAATCAACTTAAATCGACCGGAAACCTTTTCTGTCAGTGCGGGTAGCCATACTACAATATACCCTTTTACTGGGCGAATGGAAAAAAAAACAAGATATTTCCCGCAAAAAAGTTGAAAATCAAACAAATGTACTTAGAGTACCATCCGTCGGACAAAATTATCTCCACGTTTTCTCCACGTTTTTTGCAAAACAAGTTAAGTTTTCTAAGAAAGGTAAAATTATGAAATAAAAAAGCTTATAAGAAAGTAACATTTTTTTAAGTTCCTCCGTTGTTTTTGTTTACTCTGAAATGATAGTCGAGGAGAATTCACTAGTACGAGCTTCTTCCGAAATTGTTGCAATATAACCACAAGTGAAATCAATTCGTTGTGGGATAAATTATCCGGCCTTTGCACTAATGGTAATGGGACCTGTCTGAAGTTTCTGTA